TTAAATTTGCAAAATGGGCCATTTCTGGACAATTTAACAAGGCAAAGCTGTCTCACAAGGTGTAGAGCAATTACCGAAGTATTCCGGCCCAAAATTTTTTTCTATTTGCTTTGAGAGAAGTTAACTTATTCACATGTTATCTCCTGATTTTGACCGCGCGATGGTGAATGGGTAAGTGAAAGATTTCAATATTTCTATTAAACTATTTAAACCAAAAACTGTGAAAAAATAAACAAATTAAAGAAACTTTTTATTAAAAACGTTATTATTTTGTTTTCAAAGAAAATGACGAGATTAAATACAAAACTGCATCATAAATATTACATGTTGTCGGGTCAATCAGGCCTTTGCGCTGATCTGGTCTGTCTTCTTCCAATTAACTTTCAATTTTCCAAAGCTGCGTTTTATTGCAGTGCAGACAAATCTCTTTGTACGACGCCTTGAAAAATTCCACTGCCTTCTAACTTCGTGACAAAAATTTTTTTGTTGATTTTCAAAAATCACAATTTTCAAAAAACTTAAGTTTTAAACTTTCGTTCTTAAAGCTTTTTATTCAAGAAATCCCACATATGATGTGTAAAGAGTACAATCCAAAATACACGTTGATATCTTCGCATATAGAAGCGTATCAACTAGTCCAAAAAATTGCCGCAGTTTAGTTTGCAAGCATTTCTGAGTTAGAATATTTCGCCACTTACTCGATGAAAGAATGAAACAAAAATCGCGCGTTAACTATCCCTTTTTGATAAAAATGGCAACTGTCAAACCCCCACAATTTCCAGGTGATGTAATGCGAATCCCTTGAACAGTGCTGGTGAAAAAACCAAAATTTGTCTCAGTAACCAAACAGCATAAATAGCTCAAAACTGTCTCCAAAAACTGGAGCAAATATTTTGTGTACAACTTGATACGGAAAGGGATCAAAATTTTAGAAGAATGGTATTAAAATGACTTCTTCTCTTACACTGCTTCTGGAGGACAATGCAGCAATGTTGAATCTAGTCTGTAATTTTATTTTGAGGGATCGAAAAAAATAATCACGCACTGTAGTTTTAGTTTTATAGATAGTAAAATTTTGTACTAGTTTTTGGATATGAATAAAACTTTTTCTAATCGATGATAATCGATTAGAATGGAGTATGATATGATCATTTTTAGAGTGGATTTTGGTCAGTGTATACAGTGTATTTGAAAATTGATTTTTCTTTGTTTTCGATTTTTTCCTGTTGCAATTTTCCTAATTTTCGTTTTTGCTGGTGGACTTTAATTACACTCTCCGTAAATCAGTCCCTCCTTGTCGACATTTGACCCACCCCTCGTATGACCCACGTACCCCCATGAATACCCCGGGGGAGATCAACGTGAGCGATTTTAAACTAGGGGGGGTTTGCGGTATCGGTAAACGATTTTGAGTTTGGTGATGTAAAAAGGGATGACTTTAATGGGGGCGGTAAACAGGGGACAATGAGGTCGGTTGAACGCATTGGAGTTTGGTGAAGTAAAAGGGGGTGGTTTAGTGGGGGCGGTAATCAGGGGATGATGAACAGGGGATGATAAACAGGGGATGATGAAGACAGGGGATGATGAAGTTTAATGAGGTCGGTAAACAGCGGATGGTAAACAGGGGATGATGAACAGGATGGGGGGGGGGGGGGTAAACAGGGGATGATGATTTGGGTGCTTCTTTAAATTTGCAAAATGGGCCATTTCTGGACAATTTAACAAGGCAAAGCTGTCTCACAAGGTGTAGAGCAATTACCGAAGTATTCCGGCCCAAAAATTTTTTCTATTTGCTTTGAGAGAAGCTAACTTATTCACATGTTATCTCCTGATTTTGACCGCGCGATGGTGAATGGGTAAGTGAAAGATTTCAATATTTCTATTAAACTGTTTAAACCAAAAACTGTGAAAAAATAAACAAATTAAAGAAACTTTTTATTAAAAACGTTATTATTTTGTTTTCAAAGAAAATGACGAGATTAAATACAAAACTGCATCATAAATATTACAGGTTGTCGGGTCAATCAGGCCTTTGCGCTGATCTGGTCTGTCTTCTTCCAATTAACTTTCAATTTTCTAAAGCTGTGTTTTATTGCAGTGCAGACAAATCTCTTTGTACGACGCCTTGAAAAATTCCACTGCCTTCTAACTTCGTGACAAAAATTTTTTTGTTGATTTTCAAAAATCACAATTTTCAAAAAACTAAAGTTTTAAACTTTCGTTCTTAAAGCTTTTTATTCAAGAAATCCCACATATGATGTGTAAAGAGTACAATCCAAAATACACGTTGATATCTTCGCATATAGAAGCGTATCAACTAGTCCAAAAAATTGCCGCAGTTTAGTTTGCAAGCATTTCTGAGTTAGAATATTTCGCCACTTACTCGATGAAAGAATGAAACAAAAATCGCGCGTTAACTATCCCTTTTTGATAAAAATGGCAACTGTCAAACCCCCACAATTTCCAGGTGATGTAATGCGAATCCCTTGAACAGTGCTGGTGAAAAAACCAAAATTTGTCTCAGAAACCAAACAGCATAAATAGCTCAAAACTGTCTCCAAAAACTGGAGCAAATATTTTGTGTACAACTTGATACGGAAAGGGATCAAAATCTTAGAAGAATGGTATTAAAATGACTTCTTCTCTTACACTGCTTCTGGAGGACAATGCAGCAATGTTGAATCTAGTCTGTAATTTTAATTTGAGGGATCGAAAAAAATAATCACGCACTGTAGTTTTAGTTTTATAGATAGTAAATTTTTATACTAGTTTTTGGATATGAATAAAACCTTTTCTAATCGATGATAATCGATTAGAATGGAGTATGATATGATCATTTTTAGAGTGGATTTTGGTCAGTGTATACAGTGTATTTGAAAATTGATTTTTCTTTGTTTTCGATTTTTTCCTGTTGCAATTTTCCTAATTTTCGTTTTTGCTGGTGGACTTTAATAACACTCTCCGTAAATCAGTCCCTCCTTGTCGACATTTGACCCACCCCTCGTATGACCCACGTACCCCCATGAATACCCCGGGGGAGATCAACGTGAGCGGTTTTAAACTAGGGGGGATTTGACGGTATCGGTAAACGATTTTGAGTTTGGTGATGTAAAAAGGGATGACTTTAATGGGGGCGGTAAACAGGGGACAATGAGGTCGGTTGAACGCATTGGAGTTTGGTGAAGTAAAAGGGGGTGGTTTAATGGGGGCGGTAAACAGGGGATGATGAAGTCTGTTAAACGTAATTAGTTTTGAGCAAACTGTCTGCTGAAAAATCGAAATTTAGTTCTAAAAAGGGATAACAATTTGTTATAATGGTTTTTGTTTCAAAATTACTTGATTACATTGAATTATCGTGCCCAAAATTCAGGGTAAGAATGGAATTTAGTGATTTTTTTCTTCAAAAAAATCGATTATGTAAGATGACGTTATAATCAATTTTGTGATCTAAATTTCATATCCATAATTGATTGAAAATGTATTACTTATCTATGAAAATTGTTATAATAGATGGATCAACTGAGCAATTGAGCTATCTCCTCCAAGCAAAAACAATAATTCGCTACAAAAAGACGTTATCAAACGCAAGCAGATGGTTGGATGTATTCAGAACACGCAATGAATTGAGTGTGACCGGCTAAAACCTAATTCATATCAGTGTCGAAAAAAGTTTTCGAAAAAGAAAAAATCGGAAAAATAAAAAAGGGAGTTTTTGTTTGGCCGACTATTGCCTCAAGGAAAGCAAGTTACTAAAGTTGGTGATCTATTCTTGTATCTGAATACAGGGGCGGATTTAGGGGGGGCGGGGGGGCGGACGCCCCCCCTCAGGGATTCGACCCCCTGCCGACCCAAAGGGTCCCCCCTTTGATACTTTTTCAGAAATCCATTTTTGGCAGACCGACCCTAAAATTTTTCTAAAGGCGCCTTCGGCGCCAATATATACTAACTTTGAGGGGGAGCGCGCGCCAAAAAAAACGCTGTTTTTTATCAAAATTTTTCAAAAAGTGCCCAAAAACGGTTTTTTTTACTGTTTTTTCAAAAATTTGCCTGCGGCGCAGAAAATTTTGCCAAAATAGGGTGCTTTGGGAGAGCTCGAAAAATCAATTTGGTCGACCTAAAAAAAAAAAAAAAGGTCGTCAAAATTTTGGAAAATTTTTTGAAAATCCGCCCCCCCCCTCGAGAAAATCCTAGATCCGCCCCTGTCTGAATACCAAAAATTGATCTCCGCAGCACTTTAAAAAATTTTGAGCTTTGACATTGTAAGTTTTGGTGTTGCACATTGGTTGGGGAATCTGGCTCACAATTTCACCTCATTCAAACTCTTTTCAAATGTTTATAAACATGTCTCAAGTGCCTATTGAGCTATCTCCCCCCACACGAGAATGGGTGGGAGATTGCTCAGTTGATCCTAAAAGATTAATCTCCATTTTTCTGATGCGCAGGATTGAGTTCTGAGAGCCTTTGTTTTTCTGATAAATGTTTTTTTGCAGTCGGTAGTAACAAGATGAAAATTTATAACGAAATTATTAATTGCACAGAAAATTTTGAGAAACTGCGATAAAATGCCCGTGTTGATGTCATGTTTTGGTCCAAAACTTAGGAGCGCTCAACAGTCCGTAAAATCCACCAGTTCCGAAATATAAAATAATGTTGAAGAGAGCCAAAATTTGATGTTTTTTGGCGCTGTTGTTCTTCGGCAGTTATACTGCCTGAAAATTTGGTTTCAGAGAATTAAGATTAAAGATAGGAATCAGTTACTTTTTACTCTCCTCTAGCTTCGCAATAAACCAGTATATCTCTAGATCTATTGAGACTATGACATATAATAGTAAGAATAGGATTGGTATTGGACTAAGTAGTTGCACGAAAAATAGGTAGCGTGACCAACAGACGGTGTACCCTATCCAAAATTACTCTATGAGAAGGCAACCCCGGACCTAAACTGAGTTTCGGTAGCGCACGAATGAATCAACAAAAAAAATTTAATGCTTCAGTCCTACCTGGCGGTCCTCGGGGCCCTGGAAGACCTGGGTTTCCATTGATGCCAGGAACTCCTGGGATACCTGGAGATCCAGGGTTTCCACTGACTCCAGGAGCTCCCTGCGGGCAAACGCATTGGCTAGTTGGGGGTCTTACGCCACTAAGTGTATCCGTTGGATAGTACAAGTTGCCCTGCTGATTGCTTCCAGAGGAAAACAGCGGAGTACTTTCTTTGTACTTGAGGTAATCATCATCGCGGTCGGAAAATTCTGGCTCTTCTTTTTCCTTTGAGGACTTTGAAAAATCCGCTATTTTGATGCAAAACAGAAAACTCAGAAGAACGGCCAGTTTGTTCATTTTTCCGTAAACAGTGCTACGTATACCAAGAACCAAGTTGTTCGAATAAAACCATTATTATGAAGAACAATTTCAATAACAAGAAGATATTTTCTTACCTTTAAGTATAAACATAATGGTTTATTGCTGGAACTGGATGATTTCAGTGTGTTTCATTTACGTGTTACATGAATCTGTAATAAAACCTTCGAAACAATTAGCAGAAAAACATTAAAAACTTCTTGTAGGCTGAATAAAATGGAACAACTCTCTTTTCCTGTTTTTAATAACAAGCTTGACACGAAAGCACGAACGCAGGTAATTAGTCAAAGACAAGGGTTTGAAACAAGGAAAAGTTGGTGATAAGTCAAAAAACATATGACCTAAGAAGGTTCCAATAAAAACGTTACTGTTTTTTAACGCAAATTTTCAAATATTTTTGTTTATACTAATATAATAGTTTCCATTTTATAATTCTCAAATTCATTAGTGAGCTATGCTCTTGTAATATTTTAAGACTTTTAAAATTTCGTGTTGATGGCATTGGCGTCAAAATTTATTAACTTTAAAGGAAAATCAATAAAACTTCAAAAACTCCCAAAACAGAATTTTGGGTCCATCGTTGTTAAGCTTAGCTGCTCAGAAAGCTTTTCATTTTTTTTAGAAATTAAAGAGAGTTGAGGATATGCGTATTTGAGGTGTAAAACATTTTGAGTTCAATTTCAATTTTCGATTCTAGAGCCTTCACTGTGTACATTACAGATCACCCGGGCAGAGATGCTCGACACATGATTCGACCGAAACGATCAAACGGTGTCCCTTTTTGACTTATTCAGTCGAACGATGTCCGATTTCGACTTTTTGAGTCCAACGATGTCCGTTTTCGGCTTTGTTCGGCTATACCGGACAATGTTCCACTTTGTTCGACTTTACCGGACTTTGTTCGACTTTATTGGATATTGTTTGACTTCGTTCGACTTAATCGGAAATTTTACCGGGAATTAATCGAACCGTTCTATCTTACGACGATACTCGGACATCATTTGACGGTTTCTGTCGGAATCTATCTAGCCTTTTCGACTCATGATTCGACCCTGTTCGACCCATGATTCGACTTTGCTCGACAATAGTCTTCGTTCCACCGTTTTAATTTGCGACGAGTCCGTTCGCCAAAGTTCAGGCTATAGAAGCACATATTGGGTTTTTCCAGACTACCGCGAGTAGAAATTAATACTTCCTGACTTTGCTGACGAAAATTATGCGACGGTGACTGGAAAAACTCAATGAAAACATTGACGACCCACGCCCATGGGAGAATCTAGGAAAAATCGACCTTTTCAAATGATTTAAATTCGACTAAATTGATTTTCCGAGCTCTCTCAAAAAATTATTGAGACTCTATAATGACCAATCTGACCAAAAAATTTCGTTTTTATTGGCGCTCGCTCTCTCTTCAAATTTAGTATGTATTACAAAAGTATTAAGACGAGTCAGCCCAAACGGGAGGTCGCAAATAAAACCAAAAGGGGACCCTTTGGGTAAGCAGGAGGTCAAATCCTTGGGAGGAAGGCTAAATCTTGAATTTCAAAAAGTTTTCGTAAGATATAATATTGTTGATATTATCAATGTGGAACTTTTTTTATCGATAGTTGGATAGTTCATATTATGTAACGTGCTTAAAGTTGAAACTTTTTTTATATATGGTTGATGAGAGCTCAATGTATATTGAAGTAGATCACTTCGGCCGAGTTTATCCAAAGATCGGGTGCTATATTATAAAGGCAAACTCAGTATTTTCTGACATTGTTTTCAAAAAAGAGCAACTTAATAGCAAGACCAAAAACTGTCTGATGCGGGACGATTAAAATCTCTGCTTGCGCATTAGTAGCACGCGTAAATTGTCCCAAATTAGACAAATCAAAGAGGCAAGCATTAACGTTTGATAATTTTACAAAATAAAGATCACATGTAGTACAAAGTTTTATTTTGAGCTCATGATAGCAAAATACTTTTTGGATGATAAAAATTCCGTCAAAACGTGCGAGTTCAAAAGTCTAAACTATTATGTAGCTTCCTCAAAAACTTAAGCAAAAACAAACAAGACTGCTCGTATCAGGGCGAAGCCCTGAATGTTCCGACTGCCTTTTAAGGTTTATGGAGCAGTAATAACATTAAAAAATTCAATGAAATAAAACAAAATGAAAATTTTTTTCTTCTAAAATTTGAATTTTTTTATGAAAATCATCCCCCCACACGCCATATAAAATACAAAAGGATAGATTTCGCTCTTCGTAACAAACCATTAATGGCAAATTAGCTTCTTTTAACCAATTTGGAACGATTTCTAAGACGGATTAAATCTCCGCTTACGCGTTAATAGCGCGAAATATATCGCGCGTTAATTGTCCCAAATTGGCCAAAATGGCAATCTTTAAACCCCCATAACTTTACGAAAAATGATCACAGGTAAAATATCTTTTCAAATTTGAGCTCAAGACAACAATACCTTTCGGATGATATAAAAAAATTCCGTCAAAAATGGCTAGTTAAAAAGTCGAAACTTGTCTGAAGAAAAAAAAACCCACCCCGAGCACAAATATTCCGTTACCTTCGTATCGAAAGTCGGAACAAAAAGTCGTTTTGACTGGTTTCTTAACGAACTATTTAACTGAGATCTAAACCACTGTGATGTTAATCATTTTATCCATTCAGATTCATTAAAAGTTATCGGTTTGCCAAAGTCAAAGTTAAAAAAAAATGAAATGCTTGTATCAGTGCAAAACTTTCAAATTTCGGATAAAATTTTAATGAGAAAAAAAAACATAATAAATATTTATAAATAACTGTTTACAGTTTTTCGAAAACCATCCCCCATACGCTATTTTAAATATGAAGCCATACATTTTTAATAAGCCGAATAGCATGTTTTGCATAGTACAATAATTCTGTATTGGCCATTAACTTTTTATTTTGAAATAATCTTGTTGAAACTTCTGTGGCTCAAAATCTATTCAAAATATTGTGTCAGAAAATTGCTTTCTATTTTTAATTGGTAGTTGACAGTGGGCAGGCACAACTATACAGATAAATTTGTAAAAAAAAAAGCACAACAAATGAATAGAAAGAGTATCAAAAATGCCAGCTTTGTCGCAATGTCACAAACTATCTGAGAGACAGATAATAACAGGCGTCTAAAATAACAATTGTGGCTGAATTATGCTCAAAAATATAAGAGGTATTGCATCAAGGCTAATTTTTTCATCAAAGAGAAATTCAAAGACATCAAGAGATTAAGTTCTTAACTGGATTAGCACAATTTTAAAAACTAAGCCAAGGAAATTAACGGAATTGAGCTGCAACTTTTTGTATTGCTCATTAATTTTCCAAATTTTTGAAGTTGGCAGTTTTCAAGCCATCACAGTTCTGTGAAGTAATTAGCCTTGTAGCAAAATCTTTTATTTTTTGAACATATTAGTTCAATATTAGTTTTCTGATTACCTAAAATTGACTTAAGAAACGTTGAAAATTGTCAGGAAAATATAGTCAAACCGAGCTCAATCATTAAGTTATTAATAGAGCTTTCAAATAAAATGACAAAATATTTGCGCTAGGGGTGATTTTTTTCCTCCAGATAAGCTTAAATTTCTTAGCAGGCAAATTGTAACATTTTTATCAGCCGAAAAGTACTGCGATTGTAGGCTCAATTTAAAAAAAAAACATTTCAGACGTGATCGTTTTTTGTAAATTTATGAGGTTTGATAATTGTCAGTTTGGTCAATTTGGAATATTTGATACGCAATTTGTTTCTGGCTGTTAACTTGTAAGCGGAGATTTGATAGAAATTGTTCAATTTTGAAGCAAGTTATTTGGTTCATTTCCATACTTTGCTACATGCATAGTATGTCACTTTGTACTTCACAGAGCTTTTTGGAAAGCAAACCCTGCTTGGTTGAACATCAAAGGCAGTCGGAAAGTTCAGAGTTTGACCTGATACGAGGAGTCTTGTTTTATTGTAATGCCAAAACAAAAATATAAAAAGGTACACAGATGATTTATAAAGTTTTTGCTAATGATGGCAAACGAAGTCAATTTTGTCGCAAAAATTAACAAGGCCACCGTTGAATATTTTTTCAATTTGCGTTTTTTCTTAATTATTAATTGACAATTTTTCAGTGGAGGTTTAATTACTTACCTCGCTCTCCATACAATGGTTTTTTCTTTACTTAAAAATCAATTCACATCGCTTAATATTTACGAAATAGGTTTTTTGAGCTTTTAAAGGTCCAATTTTTGAAGAAGCGATGTGATTGGATCCGAGATTAGGAAGAAGCGATGTGACAATTTATGCTTGGTGTAGTTATTTCATCAGAAAATTCTCAAACTTCAGCCATTTTGTCTGAAGCTTTATTTTATTTGAAAAACCATTAACGTTTTCAGCTCAAACTAAAATAAGATATTTTATCTGTGAATATTTTTTGTAAAGCTATAGGGGTTGTCAATTTGGCTAACTATTGGGGTCTATTAACTGTCGATAAATTGCGTGCTATTTACCCTTGAGCAATTGTATAATCCGTCTCATATATAGTTCCAAACCGAATGCGACAATCTAACAGTGCTATACGCTCATTACATAACTTAGGTATTTTAGATAACCCGTGGGAAAAGTTGTTTAAAAAAACAGATTAATAAAAATATCTCTTTTTTTTCAATTTTGTTTCCAATTTCTGTCATTTTTCAAAAAGTTTACTAAAATTTATTCCACAATTCTTAATGGACAGTCGGATTAATCAAGACCCTGATAAGTGCAATCATGTTTTTTTTCATATTTTTAGGGTACTAAAACTTGAAAAACGCAAATTAAATTGATCGCCCGAAATAATTCGACTGCCATTTGGCTAATTTTGATTCTTTCTTGGGTAGAAAACTAATAACTTTAAAATACTGAAAAATTAAACTGTTGGCTATCCTTTCAAAAAAACTATCATCAATTGATAAGCTTTACAACTCGAGTCGAAATTGAGACCGGTATAAATCGCCAAAGTTAAACTTATTCATCGTGAAAAAAAGTTCACTCATAGGCACTGATCATTTAGTCCAAAAAATGCTCTAAATGGCTATTTCTATTCTTCCAACGTTTACCAAAGATAATTGCCGTTGAATTTTTCTTTGCATTTGATGTCATTTGGTCCATATTTGTATTATGTTATAAAAAAAAATTTTCATTTGACAGTTTTCATTCAAAAACAGTTTGAATAAAAAACAATCACCATAATTTTTTTTCTGTTATTATCTTCGATTGAAAGCTGGAGTAAAACTCCCCATTTCTGTTGGTGCAAATTTCCGTAAAAAGAAAGGAACTAATTATCAATAAAAAATTGGTTAAGTATTTCAATTTTCGAAGAAAAATTTGAGTAATTGAGCTAGGTGTAATTTTTTTTCAGACAAATTTTGATTTTTAACCAGCCATTTTTGAATGGCGTATTTTATGCCATCTGACTAGTAAAGATGCTTAAAGATATGTTTCGTTCTTTAAACTCGTGAGTCTTTTAACTCGCTATGTAGTTTGGTCTTTTAACTCGAGAGTGGTGAATTAATCTGGCTCAAATATTGTTTCGAGGCAAGCTAGTTGGAGCAATATTATTACAACGCTAGACATTAATTGCATCACTTTGTACTTGACATAGCGTGTGGGAGAACCATTTGCTATAAAATAATCCAAAAAAAAATTATAATTTTTTTCTTTTTCGAAGATTTAATTTAAAAAGTTCTTAAGAGATGACTCATTCCTTGGAACTTAGATGGCAATCGGAACATTCAAGATACGAGCACGGGCAGTCTTATTCTTTTGCTTATTTTTGGTGCAATCATGTTTTAAAAAGGTATAGTTTGTCCAAAATTTTGCGGTATTGTTGGGTTCATCTGAAATTTCACCTTTTTTACCCGACCAACAATTGGTTTGAAAAATTCAACTTTCTTTTTAAAAAAATATCAATTTACCATGACAAAAAATTTCCCGAGAGAGTCATTAGAACTACACGCATGGCGCCTAAAAAAGAGTTCATTTTCTTTCATAAGAATTTTACTTAGCCCTTTATTTCACTTACACAGAAAAACAAGATAATGATTAATTACTCGTAACTGGGCATTTAGGAAGGAAACGAAGGGAACGTATAACTATTCGCAACCTATCAATCAAAAAGTGATAGGTTTTTGTCTAAATATTTGCTAATTTTACGCCTGTTTTCCACTTTTCCCATTGTTGAACGTCAAGTTTCTGGACCACAAAAAATCTCAGATGTCACGTTCACCGAGTGCGCAATAAACTTCCCTCAATAATGTATTTTTAGTGCTTTTAAGTAGCTGTATCTCAAAATCAATTTTTTTTAGCAACCCTTCCTCTGACTAAAAAACTGAATTTGCTACTGCGCTTACAGTCATATTTTAAAAAAGTTTGAGCAAAATGATTTTAAAAAATTAACATTTTGTCCAGAACTCTCTAAAGCCACTCTAAACCAATGAAAAATGAAACCATGTGTTTGGAACAATTTTTAAACATTTCCAGGAATTTTGTTAAAGTTTTGAGATAGCTTATTTGCGCTATTCTTGCTTCTAAGTGCTTAAGCTCGGTGTTCGCTGTGGTTTTTTTACATTGAAACACTGAGTTTTGACTCAACTTCAATTTGAAATAAATTTGAAGAAAAAAAAATGCATTTAAATTTTGGAAAGGTATGGTTTTAAAATTTGGAATAAAGATTAGCGCATGAAATATTTCATTCTATTTAAACTCTAAACTGATCCAATTCATAAATCATCACAAATTAAATGGCGAGCTATTTAGCCTCAAAACTACCTATCGACGTGAAATGTAAAACTTTGTCCCTATCAGTGTATGGAGGGATTTTTCCCAAATTTTACCCAAACTCTCTGTTTAGCGGCGCAAAAAATTTTAGCAAAGCAAGGTTTGTTAGTGTTCTAGGAGATCTGTGAAAATAATGTGGTCCATAAAAAAATAAAATCGTCGACAACCAACCCCCCCCCCCCCAAAAAAAAAAAATAAAAAATAAAAACATCTATAACCGCCTTAGTCTGAAATGCAAAGCTATTCACACTGTTTTCTTTTAATTTTTTTTGCTACTAAAAAAAAAGAAAGCGTAATTATGACGAGTCAATCGGTCCCACTGGACAGTTTTTGTGCACTTGGTTTTTTTTAAAAAAAGAATCATCTGAACTTAGTTTTACTCCCCATTGCGTAGTGGGAACACTTTAAAAGTTTGCAGCAGGAAATTTTACCTTATTTTTTGCAAACTGATTTCAATAAAAAATTAATCATTTCTGCCAAATTGTTTCTTTGAGTTTGCCCTTGCTTGAGTCCCTTTTAATAAATTATTCATCACTTAAATACACCTGGACAACATAAAAACTGAAGAGAAACAATTCAGAACAATGAAAAGCCCATAATTTTAACTTTATATAACAAGGCTCTAGTGGGGGGTCTTATTTAAGACAAGGTGCTGATTAGTTGAATTGTCTGTTTGTTGTTCACAGAAATCAAAAAAATTATTAATTAGTTCGAAAGAAATCATGACATTATGAAATGATTTTACCGCGTTTTGCGTGAATGAATGTCAGACAAATTCATGTCATGAATATCCTTGTGGGAGAAGATCTAAGGGTATATTTAGAACCGAAGGGGAAGGGGTTGAGCCCAGTTTTTTTTGTGATACAATTGAAGTTGTCTTAAACCTCTTTTTTTTTAGAAATAAAACCTCTTTTTTTAGAGGGCAAGTTTCACCGTTGGTCTCGTTAAAGTACCTAGGGCTGTTTTCAGTTTACACAAGCGCGCGATGCCATTCGAGCCGGTAAAAACTTCTAGCACTCGACCCAGTAGCCAGATGCTTTGTGGTCTACAGTCCTCAAGTATCCACAAGAGGCCATCTTTTTCGAGTGGTTCCTCGGTTTGCGTCTATTTACTATTTTTGATGAGAGTCGGAGCTTACTCTTCAAGCTGTCAAGTCTATCTTTTGCTCGTTTCCCGGACGTGTTGGACAGTTTACTAGTAGATGCTTCGTAGAAGGCTGCTCCTGGAGCGTAGACGAAAGGACGACCCATTACCCATTAGGAAGTGGTTGGGTGTCAGTGGAAGGTCGTCGTCAAGATCACTACTGAAATGCGTTAGAGGACGTGAGTTGAAGATTGCCTCAGTCTCGTCTACTATAGCACTAAATAGAGCTCTTGATAGTCGATCAGAACCAAGATTTAGTAAGAACGCTCGTTTAATGATTCATGGCATGAATTTGTCTCACGCTACTTCTCGCAAAACGCGGTAAAATCATTTAATAATGTCATGATTTGCGCAAAAAATTTAGTAATATTTTTGACTTCGGTGAACAACTACGAGATATTTAAAAACATAATTCATCATCTTGTCTTAAATAGGTCCTGTTTTTAGGTATATTCAGGAGCCTCATAATATCACTCAAAACTTTTCACTTGCCACTAATTAGAAAAAACGCGAAGCTATCCGGAAAAATAACGAACTATGGCGGGGAAAAAAGTGACAACCATTTACATTTACATTTACATTTACATTTACCAATCCTCGAGCTTAGAATGACGCGAACGTTTTTTTTGAAATTGCTTTTTTAATGCAAATAACTTGAACAACAAAGTGGCGTCAAAGCTATAGGGAATTTAAGATCAACAAGCAAACCTAATTTGAAAAAGCCGGAACAAAAGAGCACTTAAAAGGGCCAAAAAACTACCGATAGGAATTAACGAGAGCTACGTAAAAGTCTTTAAATACGACAATCGAAGAGCTAAATCTGCCTCAAACAATTGAACGGCGCTCAGGCATTCTCTCTAATTGGAATTAGATAATAGGATGATGAGCCTGAGCCACAAAAGTTGGTGGGGCTGAAAATTAATTAAGGGCTTGTTGGTGAAAGTTGTTTCAAAATCCATTCCACCGAGACCAAAGGCACCGTGAAAATCGACTTGGCATCGTAAAACCCGTCTACTCAACATCGAACGCCAATTTTTCGAAAGATCGCTTTGCCGAAAAAAAATGGTTTGCAGCTGAAGCTTTTGAACGCTTTTGGAACTAATTTTTTTTGGTCACTTTTTTGAATTTTTTTACTTTGAAGCCAGAAAAATATTTTCATGAATCATACTTGTGAATTAAGTTAAACGACAACAATAAAAATTGGCAAGATGATTTTCGAAATAAAAACAGCAACTGTTTGTGTTTGAAGCGGCATTGAAGTGGTTTTTGCGCTCCGTTAAGCGACAAAGAGTCTTTTTTGTAAAACGTTTCCTTAATTACCCCGGAGAAAACGCCTTCAAACTATGTTTCCCTGTTCTTTTGCCACGCATCATCAACTATCCAATCGGTTTTTTGTTCAAACCACTCACCTTTTGTTCAGTAATAATCTATTTTTTTTCACCGTAAATCGCTGCTTTAATTACCTTTTTAACTTTCAACTTTTTGCTTCGTTTCATTTATAACTTTATTTTGAAAAATATCCTATTTGCACAGTTTTTCAATTTTCTAATGAAAATTTTCACATGGAATACGACAAAATCGCGCAGTATTTCAACCTCGGATAATTTTTTATTTTAATTGTTTCCCTTTTTTTGCTCTTGGTTCAAGTAAGTACGGAATAATCGGGCAGTAACAATTGTATGAGGAAGTTCAAAATTACTGCTCAGTTGGTTAAACAGTCCTTTCTTGCAGCTAAACGGACCTGCACAAACAGTAAGCAGTCTATGGGTAAATTTGACAATATCCACCATTAAAAAAATGTCATTTACTAAAAACCAGAGCAGACTGAGATCTACTTGACGCCCTCCTTTTTTCATTTCAAATCAGCCACCAGCCCAAAAGTAGAACCAGCAGTTTTGATTAGATAAATATTCACTATTTTCAATTGTTATTTTAAGTATCCGTTTCACTTAACCCATATTGAATAAAAACTTGTCAAAAAAGAAATTGCACTTTTTATTTCAAAGCCAGAAAAAATCAGCAAAAAAGAAAAACAAAAAACTGCTGCAACTGTGAAGGTATTTTTTCTTCAGATCGCTTTGATATGCATTTTGATTGGTCACAATCAAAAGCATTTTATATTCATTTTATATCTGAGTTTAAACCGCTTCCTTCTTTATTCTAGCCCCAAAAGTATCTTTTATGACATCAATTTCCGAACTTAGACTTTTTCATCATTGCTTAAATTATCATTTTTCTTGGTTATTTTTATATTGACTTCAAACATACCACAAAAAGTCTCTTTTTAACACTGACATATTGGCTCGCTAAAAAAGTTCTTTTTAACCATAGAGCAGATCTAGAGATATTTTTCGAGGCGTTTTTTTTTCAGAAGAGAAATTTGAAGAAATTAACAGATAATTCGGAACAGGAAAAGGAAATCAAAGTCACCACAACCAGGCCAAAATTGGAAGTTAATATAAAACAATATTGGATCAGACACATATTTGGTTTAGTCTTTCCGTTTTTCTTACTAATCCCCCGATTTCATTTGATTCACCCAACATTACTGCCTTACTTTTTGTTCATTTTCATTCAACCATTTCAAGTAGTAACAATTAAACCCAATAATCGGGATAATGCAACCTTAAGACATTGTTATTGGCACTTGTTAGCGATCAAAATTGGGCTGAAAATTCAAAATAACAGGTAAGAAATTTCTCGAAATTAGTTTGAAAAGCACAATTCATTGAATCTGAAAAATGTTGTGTGGAGGCGTCGATAACAACAGTGTTTTTATTAAATTGCGGATTTGGGCCTCCCGCCTTAAAAATTGCAATTTTGTCACATTGGCAATTCTGTCAAACCTTTAGTAGCGGCAAAAAAACACTATTAGAAAACTGATTTTGTTCAATTAAAAATCCATCCCAATCTCGTAGCCCTCTTGTTTTCTATTTTGCCATGAAAAACCTATAAAATTCTTGGATGGGAGCTTGGAAAGGTTGGGTCGACTCAATTACAATTGACTCCACTTGAATAGTCTTCATACACCTGAAACAATTAGGTTGAACTACTTTCAATAAAAACAAAGGATCTCCTCAACCACCCGCACCCCCATAATACATAGCAACGAATTGCCATCCTTATTAAGAACTGTTTCAGCGATTAGGTATATGTGAAAATTGTGCCCAGCAATGAATATTCCCGTTTTGCAAAAGGGGGAACTAGTAAGAGATCCGAAACAAAATTGGAGCAGCAGTCTCCTTCGATCTTTCAGGGTGTTTGGTTTTCTATCGCAACCAATTTTTGATAGAAAAAAAAAGGTTTGTTTTCAACTGATTCATTCTTTTTTTGCAAAATACTTGAAGTTACTGACTAGTCCTGACAGTTACAAAAAACGCGGATGGCAAACAAAATGATACAACCCGACAGAACAACAGAAACTATGCTACCTGAATATTTGCATATTTTTAACGCAGATTTTCAATGAAAACCAAAGTTACGCAACCAAACTTATTTATAAAAAAAGCATAAGTTAAAACCAAAACCAAATCAAAATTTGAGAGACGAAGGAGTTGGACCGGTTCATTTGACAGAAAAATTTTTGGCTGGCTTTTTATCTGAGCCGCAGATGCAAAAAAAGAATCATTTGGAACCATTGGGAACTATTTTTTTCGAAATACTGTCGGTAGAAAAAAACGTATGACATTGTGGAATTCCGCTAGTGATGGTGCAAAGCCATGTGATTACGGGATCGAATCGCATTAATGTTGCAAATTGCGAGGTGAGCTCTGGCAAGTAGGTCATAGCTTAAATGGCACTGGTTATTGTGAACCTGAATAATTGATTTCCTGGTTAGGTTTCCGTGCTGATTGACTAAAAAAGGAAAAAAATAGTTCCCGCACATTACAAAAGTTGATATTCATCGCAACTTTTTGAGATAAAACACAAAAAATGTCAGTTATGTACCACTTCTATAAGTTAGGAGACAGAAATGATGCACTGATCAGCAAGTGTCAGTTGACTGCCCGTAACCAGGGAATTTACTGTGCAAGATCTGAAAATCTTTATTTTTTTTTATACGATAGTTGAGTCTCAGATTTGAAAGTCTTCATTTTAGATCTTGATAAGAACTGATTTTTTCAGATCTGAAATTTGGATCTGGAATAGAAAATTAGTTTCGCAATTAGTTTTTTTCGAACTAAATTTTTTGTTCAACTGTGTTAAAAATTGTTCAAAACTGTAAGGAGACCTATCAATTTTTTGACTTTCTTGCGCAACTTATGCGTTTTCAATGTTTATTTCTTACTTGGTGAAACATTTAGGTTGAACTACTTTCAATATATACAAAGGATCTCTTCAACCACCCCCACCCCCATAATACATAGCAACGAATTGCCATCCTTATTAAGAACTGTTTCGGCAATTAGGTATATGTGAAAATTGTGCCCAGCAAAGGATATTCCCGTTTTGCAAAAGGAGGAACTAGTAAGAGATCCGAAACAAAATTGGACTAGCAGTCTCCTTCGATCTCTCAGGGTATTTGGTTTTCTATCGCAACCAATTTTTGATCAAAAAAAAATAAAGTTTGTTTTCAACTGATTCATTCTTTTTTTTGCAAAATACTTGAAGTTAATGACTAGTCCTGGCAGTTACAAAAAACGATGATGGCAACCAAAATGATACAACAAGACAGAACAACAAAAACTATGCTACTTGAATATTTGCATTTTTTTAACGCAGATTTTTAATGAAAACCAAAAGTTACGCAACCAAGATTATTTATTAAAAAATGCATAGGTTAAAACCAAATCAAAATTTGAGAGACGAAGGAGTTGGACCGGTTCATATGACAGAAAAGTTTTTGGCTGGTTTTTATCAGAGCCGCAGATGCAAAAAAAAGAATCATTTGGAACCATTGGGAACTATTTTTTTTTCAAAACACTGTCGATAGAAACAAGCGTATGACATTGAGGAATTCCGCTAGTGATGGTTCAAAGTCATGTGATTACGGGTTCGAATCGCATTAATGTTGCAAATTGCGAGTAGGTCACAGCTTAAATGGCACTTGTTATATGAGCTTTTGTGAACCTAAAAAATTGATTTCCTGGTTAGGTTTCCGTGCTGATTGACTAAAAAGGAAGAAAATAGTTCCCGCACATTACAAAAGTTGATATTCATCGCAACTTTTTGAGATAAAACACAAAAAATGTCACTTTTCTGCCAATTTCTATATGTTAGGAGACAGAAATGATGCACTGAACAGCAAGTGTCAGTTGGCTGCCCGTAACCAGGGGATTTACTGTGCAAGATCTGAAATTTTTTACTTTTTTTAAAACGAAATTTGAGTCTTAGATTTGAAATTCTTCATTTTAGATCTTGATAAGAACTCATTTTTTCAGATCTGAAATTTGGATCTGAAATAGAAAATTTTATTTCTGAAATAACCTTCAAAAACTTCAGAACTGAAATTAGGTCTGAGAAATTCTTTGTTGAATTATAATTTATGCATTTGGAGGAAACAATTCACTTTTTGTGTTTAGATTTTTCTGCAATACACAATCATGTTTAGTTTAGCTGGTGGTAGAAAAAACTTCAGAATAATTTTGCAATTAGTTTTTTTCGAACTAAATTTCTTTTTCAACTGTGTTTAAAATTTTTCAACACTGTTAGGAGACCTATCAATTTTCTGATTTTCGTGCGCAACTTACGCGTTTCCAATGTTTATTTCATACTTGGTGAAACAATTTTTTTCCATTTGAGTACCTGCAAAAAGCTAGCAGAAGCTATCAAAAACTATAGTATCAAGAAAAGCAAAAATTGTGTCATTAAAATAAAACTTCAGATCTGAACTTAGATCCGAAGTAGATTTCATCAGAACTGAAATAGCCAAAAACAAAAAAATCAGATCTGAAATTAGATTTGAAATAACCCATTCCTAAAGTATCCAAGCGTTATTTGCAGATCTGAAAATTACATCTGGAAAAATATATATTTCACATCTGAATTAGAACACTTATTAGGTACGGGTGAAGTAATTGAGTAATTATAGACAGACAATATCAAGGAATGATAGAAAAAGTAGATAGATCGTTTGACAGACCAATTATTTAGAATGAAAATGAAGAATGAGTGTTTTAGCAGACCAAGGTAAAACAGCTGCCGCAAGATTTTTTAGTCTTGGGTCAAGCTATATCTTGGCTCAAGCTTAGTCTTGAGTCAAGCTACTTTTGTTACGACAATTATTTCGCTGTGAATCAACAAATTATTAGACCTGGGTCAAGCTATTTTTGTTGTCAATTACCTCGAGGTGAACCAAATCCCTGAACATAACAATATTTAATTTCAACAAGGTGTTTGGTCTGAAACAAATGGATAAATGGGCAAAAAACGGAAAGATTAATGCTTTTTTTTTCATTTTGAATTCCTAATTTTATCCACATTATATGGATGTAGCATTTGATATTTTTTGTTTCTTTTAACGTATAATAAGAACAAATAATTAGCTTCAATTATTATAAATGGTTTAAATTTTTGCGTACGCCTGAATAGGACACAGCCTATTGCTTAATTATCCAGTTTTGAATTATAGTAATAAATGGTTAGTCCCAATCTCAACCCCAGATAACTTCACATCGAATGATTGCAGGTAAAAATTACTTTAATGGAAGGCTTAGGGCATTCAGATACTAGAAATAATTTTGTAAAAACGGCGAATTAAATACACAAATAAAATTTTTGGAGAAAAAATATAAACCCGGGACAACTATTTTGTAACTTTCTTCAAAAGTCGGAACAATGATTTAATTTAAGTTAGCGGCAAACACTGATTCATGCGCACAGTACCACTCTACCGAATGTAACCGCATCGGATTTGCTTGTCGATAATCTGCTGAAAAATTGGTCTGCTAAATGCATGTCTGCTAAAAGACCAACAACATATAAAAAAGTTAAGTTTAACCTCAGCAAGAAACCCAGTCATAAATAAATCAAGTCAGTACTGCCAATCATTTTAAAACATAAACAAGTTTGCTTGTATCAGGTCAAAGCCCTGCCTATAGTTTTCATTTAACGTCTATAAATTAATTTATAATTTTAAAGAAAAGGATGAAATAAACAAGTCTTTTTTAGCATTCCGTCACAATTATCCGTCACTTTCTTTGAGAATTGGAACAAAATGAAGTATTCAATTATCTTGTCTGCTTTCTCACTTATTTTAAATCTTAGCGGAATCTCAGGTTTGATACTATTTTCTTGTAAAGCAAAAATATTGTTACCAAGAAAACATTTGTATTTCAACTCACTGTGAATAAATACGAAGACATAGAAAAAAATGGGGCTCAAAGTTTTTGAAAATGTTCCCGCTGAAATGCTAAAAAAATATGCGAGCTAAATTGCTTGCTACTTTTACTTTTCTGAAATTGCAGCAATTATGTGGCTTGTTTCAAGTTGTTTGGGGCAGGGGCGGATCTAGGATTTTCACGAGGGGGGGTGGGGCGGATTTTCTCGACTCTTTTTTTAGGTCGACCAAATTGATTTTCTTAGCTCTCCCAAAGCACTACAATTACCCTGTTTCGGTCAAAACTTCAACGCCGCAGGCAAAATTTTGAAAAAACCGGCCAAAAAGGCGTTTTTGGGCACTTTTTGGAAATTTTTTACCAAAAAATTGCCTTTTTTCGGCGCGCGCTCCCCTCTCAAAATCAGTTTAT